CACACCTTGCAACGAGTTCAATGCACCCAAATTCCATTTGAATATTAGCTAGAGATATGTAGCTATATATAGCTGCAGTGAGTGCTAGAGAGAGAAAGGCAGAGCGAGAGAGAGAGAGAGAGCAGGAGAGAGCTCATTTGGCTGGCATTTTTGTATGCATTTTCAATCGATTTGCCATTCGATTGTCGCATGCAATACACTAGCTATCAGCGCAATGCTGCCTCCCCTTGCCACGCCCCTTTCTAGATATATTTATATATGCGCGCAACAGTCGCAATTGGAAGTGGAATCTGAAATCTCTCACTCAATTTATTGTTCGAGGGATAAGCAAAAAAAAAAAAAAAAAAAAAAAAAAAAAAAAAAAAAAAAAAAACTTCTTTAACTAGATTTAGGTTTCTGAAGTTTTTTTTTCAGATAAATAGTTTGACTGCCAGTTTGTGAGGTCAAAGTTTATTAGTCTTTTTTTCGCGCTTTATGCTTAATGTTTGTTTTAGAGGAATGAAAGTACGCTTCCAGCTTTTCGCATAATAAACTTTTATTGTCCTGATGCTTGTAATTAAAAACTTTGCTTGCCCCAAAGTCCGCGCGTCAACGGCTTTGACTCTGAGCCGGCTGCACACTGAGGCAAAGCCATCAAATTGGGTCATATCACTAACAATTCAAACAAACTTTGCTGCAGGGAGTGCGAGGAGTCGAGAAGTTAATTTATACTGGGAGTAGCATAACTTTCGGACTTAGAGAGGTTTATCTACTTTTCTATTAGAGTTTATAATATCCTTTTTCTGAGCTTGAGTTTGTTATAGGACAAGTGCAGATGCTCTATATTTTGTCTTCGTAATCTTTATCAATAAGCTTATTTATTGGATTTAATTAAATCATTTTTAATTTCTCTTATATTTGTTTATATTTCTGTTTGCTTCAAGTACAGTAAAAAAACTCTACAGAAAACACTCAACTATTTGCTGCATTCATTCGATTCTAATTGCATTGCTTTAAAGGATTCCCGATAGCCAATTAAAAAATTTTCTATTACTGAAAAACTTGCATTGCCCCCCTTTAAAGGTTTCGTCCGACTAATTGCAGAATATTTGCTTAGAATTCCAATTAGAAAATATTTATTTGAAAGCCCTGCTGCAACTAGTGCATGCTCAACGCATCAAGGCAGAAAGAGAGAACGAGAGTGAGAGAGGGAAGATATTAGAGGAATGTGCAAAATATTACTGAATGCAAATGGAGTAAAAGTTTGTATTCATACAGCTGCGGCTTCTAATTGGAGTTGAGCGTTGAAAAGCGACTTTATGAAAATCAATAAAATCGAAAACTAGCCAGAGAGTAGCAGCAACCACCACAAAACAATACACAGACACACACACACACTTATACACTTACACATACACATGAAGTTTTTGCTAGAGGCCGGAAATGTGTGCGCGCCTGTGCCAGGAGTTGAGACCAGACCTGGCCAGGAATGCGGGCGGGGGCGACGCTGGCAGTGGCGGCGGTGGCGGGCAAAAGAATGAATGGGCAAAGCGAGAAAAAAAAAAAAGAAAAACGCTAGCGCAGCTTTCAACCACCGCAGAGCAAAGTAGAAGTTGTTGCAATGAAACAATGTTTATTGTTGCCCAGCCGGATGTGCAGTGAAGTGCCGAAGCACGAAGAGCAGGAGGCGGCAGGAGGGGCAAAGGCAGTGGCAGTGGCAGAGGCAGAGGAGGCGCAGTCCAACAGCCAAAGCAAACAATGCAAAATGTGTTTGCTGCGTCTAAACGTTGGATTTCCACGTGTGAGCGCTTTAGTGAACGTTGTTGAACTGTTCTATTGCCATAAATCTAATTGAAGCGGCTTTTGGGTTAGCCGGTCACACAGCCAGAGCCAGAGCCAGAGCTAAAGCCCCAGTCCACTCAATCCCACCCTGCTGCCTGGCTTGATAAGCACCATTAAAAGCAACTGGAACTTTTCTTAAGCGACATAAATTAAAAGTTTGTCCAGTGTCCAGCTAAGTAAAGCAATTGAACAATGCAGCCAGCAGCAACAGCAACAACAACAACAAGAACTTGCAACAACTAGAATTTGCTGCATTTCCAACTGTCAGGCAAAAAAAAAATTAAAAAATTAAACTTAAATTGACATAAAATATATAAAACTTTGCACTGCTACCTGTGCCAAATGGGCGTGGCAGGTGCTGTCAACTGTAACTCCAACAACAACAACAACTTGGGCAACTTGAAGGAGGTCCATTAAATGGATTGATGCTGCGACGGCATCATCATTTGAATTGTGTCAATTGACAATGGGTGAGGGTTAAAAGAGGCAAGGAAAGTGTATTCAGAGAGCATTAAGAAATGAAATATGAAATAGTACGACAAAAAATAATATAAATGTGTTTGAGTTCTTTTAGTCCCAAAAAAATCAAATATTCAATACAGATATTTACGAAACTAAATAAAAGAAAAAAAAAAAAGTACAACTTTATAGTCTAATATAAAAAAATAATATTAAAAGTAAGCCTTCTCAGGTCAGCTCTTATTTATATTGAAATAAGTTTACATCAATGAATAATATGATCACAAATATAACATAATATAACCTCTTAAGCAACCCCTAAAATCACATAACGAGAGATTAATAACAAATCTGTCTTATTGCTAAGCCTGCCTGAAAACGTCCATTTAAATAAAAAACGAATTATCTTTAAAACGTAAAAAACGCTAGAAATCTGTATTCCATTTTTTAATGTCCCACGCCTTTATCTCTCTTACACTCTCTTTCTTTGTCTCTCCCCATCAATTTCTTACGCATTTAATTCTCGTTCCATCTCTGTCTCTGCCTATCTCTGTCTTTCTCTGTCTACCAACTTTCCACACTTGTCTCGCTGCTTGCCACGCACTTTCAATTTTTCTTATCAATAAAAGACGTTGCCTCTGCCTCTGCCTCTGCCGCTGCTTCTCGTTTTCATTGTGTTGTAAGTGGGCGACGTTGAAAGCTGCTTGAAAGAAAAAAAAAGTCATATAAATGGCTGATGCCAGCCATGAGTGACTAAGAGATGCCGGACAGAAAGAGAATATGTAAAGGTAATTAAGAATTTTAAGAGATTCTCCTAAGAAGTTATTACAATATTCTTACTCGACAATAGAATATCTCATCTCAATCCGTTTTGTAAGCCTAATAAGTAAAATCCAAATCATTTACTTTGTCTGTTACATCTTTGATTATAAAACCTATATACCCCATTCGATCACACTATCTACAGGGCATGTGGCAACACAAAGGCCGCTGTCGCGGCTTCAACAATTGAATTTTCAACTTCTGTTGATACTGCCACTTCAGCTACTTTTTCACTATTAAGCAGCAGCGGAGGCCGTTGTTATTCTCGCGTCCTCCTCCTCCTCCTCTTTTTCCTTTTGCTGTAAATTCTGATTTGCCTTTTGAATTGTCAAATCTTAAGCAAAATAAAACAAGTAAGAACGTTGCAGTCGGGCGTTACCGACCGCGGAATACTCATTCACATCCCATCAACAATTTAGTAGTTAAGTTTCATTCTAATACTGTAGAATATACAGGTTTTTCCGATTTGCCACGCCCCTAGTGGGCGGATCGGGAAAATTTTAACACTTTATAAATCGGAGATATACACGAGTATGTGTTCCAAATTTCAAGTCTCTAGCTTCAATAGCGCCGAAATAGATTGCGTTCATACGGACAGACGGACAGACGGACGGACAGCAAGACGGACATTGCACAAAACCAATATACTGATTCACTTTCGTGAATGAGTATAAATAATCAAAAAGAAAAAAGAAATGAAGAGCAAAGCATCAGCTCAGATCTTCAACAAGTTAGTGCCGTTAGACGAGAGCTAGGCAGATTTACCGTTTGTCATTTCGCAATGATTTGTGAGTTAAACAGAAAAAAAGTCCAAAAGGCATAATTGCCAAGTGCAGCACTCAAAATGAACTCTTTGAACTGCTCCCAAAAGGGTAGACAGAGACAGCCTCCAAGCCCTTCCTCCCTCCCTCTCTCACCCACTGCCATTGAGATATGAAAAAAGTGCCGACCGATAAAAAGAATGCATTGGAAAGAGAAGTGGCAAAAGGTAAATAGCCAGCCATCAAAAAGCGCCATCAGCAACAACAACAACAGCAGACTGGAAGTTGTCATCGCATAGTAGAATGTGTTAATGAAAATTCGTATGCCTGGAAGCAAAGAATGGGGAGGTGGARAAACATGCAGATAAGCTATATAAATACTATTTTGAAAAAAAAAAAAAAAAAAATTTTTTTTTTTGTATTGTGGCTTGAACTTCAAACAGCGATGATGCTGGGATAATAAACAGGCCAGAGCAAAAGGTAAATAAATAAATGCGGCAAAGCCCCAACAAAAATAGAAGCAGCAACGGGAGTAAGAGAGAGTGAGCCAGATAGAGCATGAGCAGCAGCTGCTTGTTTTGCTCTCGCACCCACTCTCTCTCTCTCTCTCTCTCTCGCGCTGTCTTGTGGCATTCCAGGCGCAGACGTCGACAGCTGGTTGCCGAACTGGTTTCGTTTAGTCCTCCAGCTAAATTACAGACAATTACAAACAACAACAACAACATTGCTCTTTGACTCTTTAAACGCAGCAGCAGCTGAGCACTAAAATCGGATTTGCTTTTATCAGCAGCAACCACAGCCGCAGCAGCAGCGTAAATAGAAATTGTTGTGGGAGAGCAAGAGCGCGCTCTCTCTCTCCTCCATTCTGTGCTTCTTCTCGTCACTTACATTCAATTTGTTGTTGTTGATGCTTTTTGTAGTTTATTTTTTATTGTTTAGTTATTTGGCTGATGCGTTCATTGGCTTTTGTAACGGCACTTTGTTATGTCGAGATGCATTTCTGTGCCACTTTTCGAGCGATGCGTTGGCCACTCTCACACACATACGCACACATTATAACATACAGGAGCAAACAAGTTTCCAGGGCAAATGATCTAAAAATATCCGAAAAATCTAATAGAGCGTGCCAGCACTTACCTTTAATTTTAATTAGTTGGAATATTCGGCGTCGTTTTAATTTATGATTGAAAGTCAGCGGCTTAGCCGCGTTTTTACAGTTACGGCTATAAAACACAGTTGCTGCCAGCGTCGCGCTCGTTCTGTTGTCGTATTTCACGGTCGTTAGACTAGAAGCGAAAATGAATAATAAAAACAATGTGAAACTATTTCCCGAAAATGCGCTAATTGGATGACGAACAGGAGGGGCAATAACAGGAAAATATCCTGCGAGCCCGCATTGAAAAAGTAAAATGCAATAGTAATAAAAAGATGGGCAACAGAGGAAGAAAATAAGTAACAGAAACTTTCAATGCGAGGCGTTGGTCGCGGGTAGCGGCAATAGCGGCAGAGACGTCTGTCGGTAAAATTCCCAAATGAAGAGAGAAAAAGAGAGAGGCGGAGATGCAAAGAAGAAGCACTGAAGTTAACGGCGGCTTTTGCACTGCGCAGGATATTTGCGGCGTTTGTATTTTATTTTGATTTATTTTAATTAAATTTCATCATTCGTTTATTTTTCACTGTTTGCTTCATATTTATTTTTTATTTTTGCTTCTTTTTTGTTACTCCGCTTTGACACTTTATTTCAGTTTTCCCCACTTCTTTTGCTCTGGCATGTTCAATGTGTGTATGTTTGTGTGTTTGCGTGTGTTAGTGTGAGTGTTGCTCTGTTTGTGTTTCCACTGCAACTCCGTTGCTGCCGTTTTACTTGCTGTTTGCTTTGCTTGGAAACTGAAACTTCTTTCTCTTTTGCACACATACGCTCACACGACCCCACACACACACGCACATTCACACGCATACAAACTGAACGGCACAAACAACTCACTTTATAAACTTACACGTTTCTTCTTTGAATTAAACTGCAATTTTCACTTCACAGATTTCAAAATTTACACTATATTCCTGCACTTAAGTTTCTGTTTTAATTCTTATTTTTCACCGACAAGAAACGTAGAAAACACCGACCGACATAGCCTCGCACTGAAAACGCGTCCAACTCGCTCAACGGTTTTTTTCGACTAAAAGAAGTCATCTCTCCCGCTCGCACAACAACAAAAACTACAGCATTGCAGTGTGACCAGTTGGTAGAAAATATAAGACCTGAAGACATTCTTATTTTTATATCTGCAAACTCTACGGTCAGAACTTATTATTTTACCAATAAATATTTAACAAAATCATAAATGACTCTATTTTCAATACTTTAAGCGAATACCTTAACTTAGTATGTACTGGAAAAAATACTACATATATGTGACGTTTTTTTGCACATTTCCTCCATCCGGCATTCATTTTTATACAGTGGCAACGCCATTCCATATAGTTGCCACACAACTTCATTGTATCACGTCGTTTTTCTTGTGGTGCGCGACCGCCAGAGTTTTTGATCTCTTTAATTAAAAGAAAACCGTTGGTGTGTTTTTCTAAAAGTTAAATAAGACGTCATTTATATCGCTGCGTTAACTGAAATCATATACAAGCAGACGTTGCGTTTTACGTCAGGCCGGCAGCAGTGACTATGCAGTCCCATAGTAAAAAACGAGTTTGCTATTATTACGACAGTAAGTTGACATTAAAACTACTTAAAGTACACTTAATTTATGTAATTGAGTGATAGGCAACGCATGCTTAGCCTATTACATTGTTTTAAGAAGTCTGCGGCTAGTAGTCGGAAAATTTGGGTGGCAGATATGTGAATTTCAATTTTTACAGCGACTGTACAAGCATTTTGGCACTCAGCGCACTTTTTCACTAACGACCGTAATGACTGCGGCTCTGTTGGTGGTGTATGTGCATGTGTGTGTATACATGTAGACCTTTGTTTTCGGTATAGCGAAAGTGTTGCTACGTTTGTATACGACAAAGTGCACTGAATGGACGCCTCGCCGACAGTGGCCGTAAAATTTTCGTTTTACATAGCGTGGCGCATATCTGTGTTGAAAATGGGAAAAAGGGTATAATGATTATATTAAAGGAAGTATGCGTAGCAAACCCCATATACTAAAAATTAATTTATAATTTATTTGAGGGTACTTAATAGTCCATAGAAATTCTGTCTCTGTTATAGTTTAAGAGCCAATGATCTAATTTTACATATTCTAGGGTATATTTCATTTCATTTCTATTAACACACTACTCTTGCACTCCACAGGTGACATTGGCAACTACTACTATGGCCAAGGCCATCCCATGAAGCCCCATCGCATACGCATGACCCACAATCTGTTGCTCAACTATGGACTCTATCGCAAAATGGAGATTTATGTGAGAACCCGACTAGGAGTTACCTTATGAAATGATCTAATCAAGTGTGTCATTACAGAGACCCCACAAGGCCACAGCGGATGAGATGACCAAATTCCATTCAGATGAATATGTGAGATTTTTACGTTCCATACGCCCGGACAATATGACGGAGTACAACAAACAGATGCAGCGCTTCAATGTGGGCGAAGATTGTCCCGTTTTCGATGGACTCTACGAGTTCTGTCAACTGTCTGCCGGTGGGTCAGTGGCTGCAGCTGTCAAGCTGAACAAACAGGCCTCGGAGATCTGCATCAACTGGGGAGGCGGTCTGCATCATGCCAAGAAATCTGAAGCTTCCGGCTTTTGCTATGTCAACGATATTGTCCTTGGCATCTTGGAGCTCTTGAAGTATCATCAGCGAGTGCTCTACATCGACATCGATGTGCATCACGGCGATGGCGTGGAGGAGGCATTCTATACCACAGATCGGGTGATGACGGTCAGTTTCCATAAGTACGGAGAATACTTTCCGGGCACGGGCGATCTGAGGGACATTGGCGCTGGCAAGGGCAAATACTATGCTGTGAATATTCCGCTGCGCGATGGCATGGACGACGATGCCTACGAGAGCATCTTTGTGCCCATCATCTCCAAGGTCATGGAGACCTTCCAGCCGGCGGCTGTGGTGCTGCAATGCGGTGCTGACTCGCTGACGGGCGATCGCCTGGGTTGCTTCAATCTGACCGTCAAGGGACACGGCAAATGCGTCGAGTTTGTTAAGAAATACAACCTGCCCTTCCTGATGGTCGGCGGCGGCGGCTACACCATCCGTAATGTCTCCCGCTGCTGGACCTACGAGACGTCGGTGGCTCTGAACGTTGAAATTGCTAACGAACTGCCCTACAACGATTATTTTGAGTATTTCGGTCCGGATTTCAAGCTCCACATCAGCCCGAGCAACATGACGAATCAAAATACAGCTGAATATCTGGAGAAGATCAAGAACAAATTGTTCGACAATTTGAGGTTGTTGCCGCATGCGCCGGGTGTTCAGATCCAGGCCATTCCCGAGGATGCGATAAACGATGAGTCCGAGGACGAGGATAAGGTGGACAAGGACGAACGCCTGCCCCAGAGCGACAAGGACAAACGCATTGTGCCGGAGAACGAGTACTCGGATTCGGAGGACGAGGGCGAAGGCGGCCGCCGAGACAATCGCAACTACAAGGGTCAACGCAAACGTCCAAGGCTCGACAAGGAGCCCATCATCAGCAATGCGAGCAGCAAAGCCAGCGCCGAGAGCAGCGAGGCTAAGGATGAAAAGGAGAAGGGTATATAGAGAGTCTACTATAGCCAATTTTCGGTGCATTTTAACTAACTTCTCTCTCTCTCTCTCTCTCTCCAGCTGAAGCTGAAGGCGAGGAGTCCGCCACGGCCAACAATACGAATAGCAGCAGCAGCAACAGCGGCGGCAGCAATAGCAACAAAGATGACGCTGCCACGCCCACAGCCGGCGGTGGTGGCAGTGGTGCCGCCGCTGCATCGAAGGGCGCCAAGGAGAACAATATATGACGTGGCGGCCGCAATTGGTTATAGAAGCCAATTAAGCGACCGCCCAAATACAAGCCGCCGGATTTTACCTAGCATACGGATCCATAAGCAAATCAACAAATTTTTGGATTCCGGAGCTTAGTCAATAATTGAAAATTGAAAAGAAACGAAAAAAAAAACAACAACTCAGCTTAAATTAAAATACAATTTATTGTAAGGCCCCATTTTCATTCAGTGTAAAGCGAATACGTATTTTAAGCTAACAGATACCATTTAAACCGAGAAGAGATACATTTAAAGCGCAGATACATTTAACGAAAAAACCAAACAAACAATCAATTAAGATACAGTTATTATTAAAACGAACCCCTAAAGTTACTTACCCCCATAAGCATGATCCACACGTATTTTTTAAACGATCGCTACAAAACTTTTAACAACAAAATAAAAACTCTTTTTAACTGTGAAACTTTTAATTAATATGTATCAATGGAATTGGTATGTAGAAAATCTAGATAAATTTTATATCAATATGAGGTATTCTAGAATTTGTATATATGGAAAATAGCATAATGTTTTAGATTAGAATTTCTTTGTTATATCTAATAAAGGAGAAGACCTTTACGTAGGATCAGAAGTACGCACCTGAATGTATGAGAATCGCATAGAAGGACAACTTTTGTATGCACAAATTTTTACTTTGAGAACAACATATAAATCGCCGAGAACAGCAGTAGGTAATTCCATATATACATATAAAATATATATATACTTTTTGTAATCAACGATATTTTATACAAATTTTCATACTTACTTTACGATAGGTTACACATTTTCCAATTAGATATATTTGATTCTTAATTTAGACTTCTTTAATACTTTTATTTATTATTCAAAAAGGAACTTGTGACAATTTGTTACACATTAACTAACTAAAATTTCAAACTAACTAAAGTTGAGGATTCGCTTTCCAATCAAACGGATTGCAGCTGCCTTTTTCCAATCAGACGGCATGACTGACTGACGGGCGGCGCGCTTGATGAGACTTTTTGGCGACTAATCCAGCGATAATACGGACTCGATGCTGTTCCGATTGCTGCGTGGCTGCAGGCGTGGCCCGCCCAGATAGCTAATTGGATTCGCGAACTGGCGCTGCAGCAGCGCGGCCTCTAAATACATGGGCGGCAGCGTTGTTCGGGGGGCGCGTCGGGCAACCGTTGCCGGAGTTGTCCAATTGGAATTTTCGGCGCTGACGTCAAAGGCGAGCTTCGTGTCATCGTGTGCTTTGTGACGGGATTTGCGTCGTTGCGGTGGCTGCTATGGATTGTCGTGGGCGTGGCAGTGGACGTGGGGCGGTGGATTCAGGAATTGAGGTTATGTTGTTTAGGTTGGGCGTTTTCGGTTTTTGGGATGCGGGTTTTAGATCAAATAATTTAGGGTTTAATTCGATTAGGCTGTATTTGCAAGTGTTGTGAAATGGACGAGGTGTGAATAAACGTGATCAGAGAGATATATATGTAGATATATGTATATATTTCAAATAAAGTTTTGTAAAAAACGAAAAAAAAAAAAAAAGAACACATAACGCATGTCTTTTTGGTTGGGGCGATGGGCATGACAGTAATAAATGCTTTCGATGATATGCATAAAATATACTTGTCTTAACCAATTTCAGCAGTTTTTGGGTACTCATTACGTATAACATTGAAGCGGCAGAGGAAGAGCAGCTAAAGAAAATGAAATGCAATTATGTTACACCGCTAACCAGTTAGCAAAAAACTGCGCTAGAGCAAGGGAGAGAGCAAGAATACACTGCATAAAATGTTACGTTATGCCACTGTTAACCAAGGTGGGTCGATCGTAACAGCACAGTAAGCGCAGCTTAACAGCGCCTAATTGTATGTTAAAGCGAAAACCGAGTTTTTTTTTCACATGATTGATGCTGTAATTGGATCGGAATGCTAAACCACCTTTTCGTTTGAGGGCTTACGCGTAGCGTTTGATTGGAAAGTTTTCTGCGTGTGCGCATTAATTAAATAGTTAAACGCGTGTGTATAAACAGAGATTTTGTATGTTAAATATGCACTGCAGTGCTTGAAATGTGTGCTAGTGATAGGGCAAAAATATATTTTTCGTTACATTTAATGTTTTACATTATTGGAAGTCTTAAACGCGTTATTGCGTATTAAAGTGTGTGCAGTTTCTTTTTTTATACATTTTTTGGGTATGTAATATATCTCCTATTTGTAATTCCAAGTGAAGTGTGTGTATATGTGTGGTCCAAAAAATCCACTTTGCAACGCATTAAATTTGTGCTTTGTGTTTTGGCAACAATGGTGGCACCCTTGACCCAGCACGAAAGAGTAAGCCACTTCACAGTTCGCCACACTTGCTTCCAGTACCTCATCTGTCTCTCCCTCTCTCTCTCATTCTTTTTCCTAAAAATCAACTACACAGAGTGCAACAACAGCAGCAACCGCAATTTGCAATCGTGCTCACATGCGTGCACATGTGTGAGTGTATATGGGTAGTCATCAGCGCACGAAACACACAAATGGAAGGCAAACGGGTAAGTGAAGTCGCAGTTTACGTTCTCTTCTTTATTACACTTTTACATATGTATGCATACGCATAATATATATGCATGCATACAGGCATAATTGCTCTCTTAAACTGACCTTCGCTAGACGCTCACGCTAGCGTTTATTCAAACTGTAATCACAATTCTTTTTATGCGCCGCTTAGCAATGCGACACTTAAACGGAGTTTTATATATTTGGTGTTGCACAGTGGTTTATGGGGATAAAAAAAGTAATGAATGCATAAAAAGTAATTAAGTGGAAATGTTATTTAAATGGAAAAAATTCTGTCAGAATTTTTGCGTTCTCTTTTCCTTTCTTGTAATTAAATAAAGAGTTCACATTTATATTTGATGCCTGTTTTATAGAAAAGTTTATGCGTTCGCAAGGTTTTACGAAAAATTGTTATTTCTCGCGTCGCTTTTTCATAGTTTTCCATTTGCAGCAACTCATTTCAGTTGCACTTTTGCTCGCTTTTATTGTTCTCGGTTGAAGGTAACGTCAACAACAACAATAACAACGACAGAAAGAAGAAGAGCGATAATAACGTAGCCAGCAACAAAAGGCAAGCAAACTTGCACTTTCACACACAAACACACACCAATACACGCACACAATGGTACACCACTTCAGTGTCAGTACGCGGGTGTTGTGTGTGCGTGTGTGTGTTTGTGTTTGTGTTGTTGCATTTGGCAGTCATATTAACATTGAGCGCATAGCTCTGCAATTTTTCATAGCATACAGCGCGGGGATAGCGATGTAACGGTATTTATAGAGAAGTATATGAATGGAACTGTTGCTCTCATACACTCAGCGAAAAAATGTAATATACTTAAGATTTATAATATTAATCATTTAAATATATATAATTTACGAATTAAAGTGCTAAAACTTCTTTAAAATCTTTTCGGGGAGTTTTCAAAGAATTTTAGGAGATTTTATACTTTGCCAAATTTGTAAATATTTTGATTTTTGTAAGGTAAAAAATTTTTGCTAAAGAAATTTTCAAAGAAATTTAAATATTTTCAAAATATAAGAAGTTTTCAATTTGAATTTACTGCATTTATTAAGTACTTATATTGATTACTTTATTTCAAAGTGTAAACATTTCAAGGACTTTGTGCCCGTCATCATTTGCTGCTGTTGCCGCGCTGGGCAATTTATTGTCCACCTGACAACAAAATACACACAAACACAAACACACACACAGACAGAGTGTCGGGCCACTTGAATGTATTTATTACACATGTTTTACATTGTACGCACAAGTTTGTTGCCCGATGTTTGGGGTCGTTCTGGTCAACGAGAAGCAAATGCTTTGTTAACCATTATGGGCAATGTTTTAATACGACAACAACAACAACAAGCATAACTTTTCACATTTAATGAGCGAGCACACACAAAGAGGGGGAGAGAGAGGGCGACAGTTCTACAATTGAAAGAAAAAGTTTGAGTTTTTTTTTCCTTTGTATTTCAACTTTTTTAACGCGGAAATTAATAACAAATTGCTTGAAGGCAGCGCGACGCTAGCTGCTAGCTGTAGTAAAAAAGAAAAATAATAAAAAAAATGTGGGAGAAGAAGAAGCAGCAGCAGCAGCAAACTTTTGCTTATCCACAATAAACACTTCATTGCGCACTTGAGTTAATTTGTCAAGAACTCGACGCATATGTTCGAAATTATTGAAAAAGTTTCAAGTGTGAGCGAAAGAAAGGAGAGAAACACAGAAAGAGGGAGAGAGAGAGAGTGAGCGAGCAAGAGCGAGTTGAAAATTTTATGGTGTCCTTTATAGCTTTTCATTAGGTCCAGCGCCAGGCAATTGCAATTGTTGTAAAGCATGAATAATGCATGCTCCGAAAACTTTTATTAAAATGCATAAAACCACAGCCAAAAAAAGGGAAAGAAAATTAAAAAAAAAAAAAAAAACAAAAATGGAGTGAGAAAAAATGCAAAGAGAAAACTTGAGATTTTCATAGCTGACCAAAATGCAGGCCAGCGTCAATTGGCTGTGGCACAGATTTTATAGTGTTTCCATCGAAAAACGTTCAATATGAAGTAAGAGATATTTGGTTGAGGCAGTGATTGATTGAAGCCGTGATTGATGGAAGAAATTTGTTAAGTAAGTCAAAGAGAAATATTTCTGATTTTAAATTTAATTTGCTTTCAATGAATTCTTGAATATTTTTTGAGTCTTAGAAGTCGTTTAAAGCATCGGAACTGAATGATGATTGATGATGACAAATTTTCGTGGCGTACATTAAATAACGTTGTTTCTAGAAAATGTTGAATGTATTTTCTTATCAAAAATTAAGTTTATCAATTCGTTTTCGATTTATATGAGGGTTTCCCCATGTCCTTCGCATAGAAATCTTGTTGACCCAAAAAAATTTTTATCTTAAAAATCCTAAACACTTTCCAACTTACATATGTAACTTCTTGTCAAAAAACTTTTTCAGAAAAAAAAAAAAAACAAACTATAATCCGGTCGATTCTGAACATTTGCTGCTTCAGAGATTTATTGTGTCATCGAAGTTAAATGCTTACAAACTCGATTGTATTGCACGAGCAGTGGAAACAAGTTTGTTTTTCTGTATTTGCTTTGCTTGCAAACTCAATTGGGGCCTTGAGCTTTGTTCCAGCTGTTTTTCCTTTTCTGTTCAATAAACTGTAATTCGTGTTTGAATGTGTGTGTGTGTGTGTGTGAACTGGCATTTGTCGCACGTATACACACGCGTATGTGCGCACATTCACACACACTTACACACACAGTCAATTGCACACATACACTCACATATTGCACTTGGCATACATGGCGTATGAGTGACATTTAATTAAAATTTATGCAGTCTAAAAGGCAAAAATAACACACACACACACACAGTCGAAAAAATAGTAGAAGACCTTCTTGTGCTGCTGCTTCTAGTAGCAGCAGTTGTTGTAGCTCATMTTGTTGTTGTAATTGTTGTTGTTGTTGCTGTTGTCAGCCTGACGCTGAGGCTGTTCAAATTTATGCAATGCGCGTCATTTTGTTTGAGTTTTATTAAACGCTGGCAGTTGTAACTCGCCTCGTAATCATGTGTAAATTTGTTTTTACACCGAGAGAATGGAAGGGTAGGAGGGGGGTCGGATGGAAGGGGTATCGGGTATGAGAACGGTAACAGCATAGAGCACAGGTCGAGCGTTGTCTGCTCTACTTCTGCTGCTGCTGCTGCTGCTGCTCCTGCTATCTGCTGCTCTGCTCTCTGTTCCTTTTTGTGTGTGGCTGAGCATTGTGGCCATACGTTGTCAGAGCTGTGTGCAGAAATTTTCTAATATTTAAATGGGAAATTGTATGCTTAGGGCATAATTGCACTTTGCACTCAGCATTGTCTTCGTGTACGTGTGAATGTGTGAGTGCGTATGTGTGTGTGCGTGTGTTAGTCAAGTGGATAACTAATGTGCAGCTGCATAATTAGAGTTGGGCTGCCCAAACTTATTGCTGTCTCTCGAAATGTTTGAGATCATCTCAACATTACTAGCGAAAAGTGAAAAGCTGATCAAATTATTTGAATTGTAGCATAAAATTAGCTATTTAAGTTGATGTTAACTATTTGTAATCCCATTTAGTTGAGGTGCTTGAAGCTAAAGCAGTTATAAAATACTACTGCAGCATTGGGGAAGATTGTGCTTTATTTTATTAAGTGTACTATTTATATGTGTATATTAATTTAATTATTTT